AAATATTTATATTATTTAAGTAAATTTCTAGAAATTTATAATAATATTTCAAGAATATAAAGTTTATAATATACTAAAAAATTATAAAAATATTAATAAATTTAAAAGAATACAAAGTTTATAATATACTAAAAAATATAAAAATATTAATAAATTTAAAAGATATTATATTAAACTTAAATAAGTCTATTTTATAATAAATATTATCTTCTTTTTATTTTTTTAATTTGTTAATATCTTAAGATAAAATTAAATATAAAAAAATATTTTATCTATTCTAAATTATCAAGAATATTAATAATTCTTGAAAATAAATATTTATCTTTTTTTATTATTTTATTTATTTTTGATAATTTATATAAAATTATTTCTTTTTATTTTTCTTCTTTACTAAGATAATTAGAAATATTTAGATATAATTTAATTTCTAAATAATATTTTTTTTAAGTATTACTTTATTAATTTTTAGTTAGTTAGTTTTATTAAAAAATAAATATTTTTTGACTCTAATAATTATAATATTTATTAGAAATTTAAGTTAATGAAAAGATTAATTATTTTTTTAATATTATTTTTATTATATTACTAATTTTTTTATTAAAATTTTTATTAATATTATTCAAAAATTTCTTTATTATTATATACAATATCTTAAAATTTTTATATTAATTATTATATATGTAAAAGTTTTATTAATATTTATAATATAATTTATTTTATTAATTTTTTTGATTATTTATCTATAATTATTATATTATAGTTCTCTAAATCTTCAATTATTTTTTTTTCTTAAAATAACTATTTAAGATATTTACTATTTATTTTTTTATTTAAATTATATATAATTTAATTTTTTTTCTTTAATTTAATTATTTTTTTCATAAACTGATTAGTTTTTAATTATTAATAACTTTTAATCTTATTTATACAAATTAAAAACTTAATTTTTTCTCCTATTTGTATTTTTATTAATATTATTATATTTTTTAATTATAAAAGATTTTTTATTTTGTAATATAAATTAATATAAAAAAAATTTATATTTCAAATAAGTATTAATAGATTATTTTTTCAAAATAAATTTTAATTCTATCTTATTTAATTAAATTATTAGATAGAATTTATTTAAATATAAAAATTTTTATTATATAAAAAAATTTTTACTAATAATAACTTTTTTTAATTATTATTTCTTAAATTTTATTATATAAAGTTTAATTAAAATTAATATAAAAATTATATAATAAATAATTAATTATTCAATTTTGAATTTTAATTTATTTATAATTATTAATTTAATTTTTATAAATTTAAAATATATATTTATTAAATTTAAAATAATTTATTTATATAATTTAAAGTTTTAATATTATAAATTAATAGTAATAATATTTTAAATATTTTTTTTAAAAAAAAATTTTATTTTAGTTTTTTTTAGTAAAGTAATACTTTATTTATTATTAAAGTATAATAAAATAATTAAAATAATATAAAAAGTTAATTTAAATTATTTTTTATTTAATATAAAAAAATTATAAAATTAATTAAAATTTAAATAATTTTTATTAGATATACTTATTAATTTTTATATTAAGATATAAATCTTTTTGTACTGATTCATATTAAGAAATATAATTTATTTTTTTTATAAATATATTACTTTAAAATCTTGAAATTTGAATTTTGAGTATTATGATTTCTTCTAGTATATTCTTATATATTTGATTTATTTTTATTTTATTTTTCTAATTTACTTCTAATTTTTTTATTTTTCTACTAAATTAAATGATTTTTGACTTAGAATTTAGTTAATTAATAATAATATAAATTAGTTTTATATTATCTATCTTGATTTAATATATTATTATCTGAATTATAAATATTATTTTAATAACTTTTAGAATTTTATTTATAATTTTCAGATATATAATAGTTATTAAAAAATTAGTTTTTTCTTTTAATCTCTGAATTATGAAATTATAAAAGAAATTAACTTTTTCTTGTCACTATTTGTTATTTTTTTTTATAATTCAGATATTATTATGAAATAAATCTTTAAGAATTTATTTTTCCTTGTTTTATATATAAAATACTTTATATAAATAAAATAATTTGGTTTTGATATAAAATTTTTGATAAAAATATATTATAAATAAAATATTATCATTTTTATTTCAATTTAAAAAACTTAATAATTAGTTATCATTATTATTTTTAGAATTAATATTGTATAAGATCTTTAAATATAAGATTGCTATCTGAATTTTTCTTATTTTTTTCATATTATTGATATTAAAAATAACTTCAAAATTTTTTAGTTATCAAATTAGATCACTCTTTTCTTTTTTTATTGGAAGTTAAAAATTTAATATGATGCAATTTCTTTATCTTTCTTTTATATTGACTTAATATTAGTATTATTATATTAGCTAATTTTATTTTTTTACTTAGTTCTTTGATTATTACTAACTCTATTTTATTATTTTAAATTAAGATCTGATTCATAATTCATAAATAGCTGTTATTTCTCAAAATATATTTGATCTTGTAAGAAAGTTAATATTATTGAAAATAAGAGTTATTTAGTTCAATAATCTTTTAAGCAAAAATTATAATTTCTTAAGTATTTTCTCTTTTTTTTTTTTAATTATTTCTTCTTAATCTCTTCCTTCTCTCTTCTGACTTTCTAATTGATCTGGCTTGCTGAATCAAAAACTGTTATCTGATGGAATAGATGTGAAGTATCTACCAAGTAATCTGTGAGATTGTACAATTATGAATTATTTTTCAGTTAGTTTTCCATTAATTAATTTATAGTTTCATTAATCAATACTCTAACTCTTTATCAAGTTGATTAGATTCTTCAATTTATAATGCTAGTTCCTGCCTAAGAAGACAATTCATCAGTTGCAGTGTCATATTTTTATTATTTAATGTTTGTAGTCTCAGAATAGACTACTTTATTAATAGAGGATGTAGGAACAGATCAATAATATTTTGAAGGAATGTATGTGATTATTTAAGAATAATATTAATCTTTATTTTATTTAATAAGAACTTTATTACAATGGTTAATTATTTTAATGTTCTATTGAACTAATTTCTAATTAATTCTTAATTGTGCTTTTCTACTCTAAAGTCCCTCTCTATTCATAATCAAATTTCCTCTCACTATTCTCGTCGCGATCCCACTTTTATCACGACGCCAAGACTAATGAATCATTTTTGGTTTGTTCATTAGTCGGCATCTTACTGGTACATCTTCATATATCCGCGATTTATTGGTATACTTTATATCAGATCATCTTCCCAACGATGCATCAATCTAAGGCTTTGCATCGCTGCATCCGGTTGCATATACTAACTTCACTAACCCCGTACATTTGCTAATTTCACTAATCACGAGATCCGATCCCCCCCCCTTAACTTTTCGTAGATTATGTATAATGCACCAAATTTTTCCGAGCACAAAGAACATTACAAATGCTGATCATGATACCTTTTATTGGTAGAGCTTCTATATCTATTGTATGTTCATAAATTTTCACGTCCCAAATATAATCAATTATTTCATAACACACATCTCAATATCCAATAATCTAATTTTTGATGTCCAGCGACAGTATTATTTTTGTTCAAATCGGGTCACTGGACGTCGAAATATTGCGTCTTAAAGTAGCAGATTCATTTTTAACCAAAAAGAATCGGTCAATTTAGTAATATCTTGACCGCCAATGATCCGATTCGAACAAAAATAATACCATTCGATTTGTCTAGTCAAGACGAATCGAATGGCATTATTTTTGTTCGAATCGGATCACTGGAGGTCAAGATACTACGTCCTAAATCGACCGATTCATTTTTTTGGCGATCAATTTCTATGAAAAATGATCTCGATGTCTAGTGAGTGAAAATACCACCATTCGATTTATTATGTCCTAATGTGACCGATTTACTGTATTTGGGCATGAAAAGTTTATGACCGATATAGAAGCTCTACCAATCTATAAAAGGTATCATGATCAACATTGGTAATGTTCTTTGTGCTCGGAAAAATTGGTGCATTACACATGATCTATGGAGGGGTCGGATACTTTTGCGGTTGACTGTATTAGCGTTGCAATAGAAAAATCCCACGCTATGACATGTTCCCCAACTCTAGCAACGATGCTCAATTGATTATTTAACACAATGGGATTGATATAATTCAATTTGCAATTCGTATTGACATCATCTCTACATCTATCAATCCTATATCCCCTATTCAACAAGATTTGACAACCAAATACTAGAAATTCTTGGAATAGAGAAATTTGTGAAGTGGAAATGGTGAGGAGTAATGATTACACAGATTTCCTTACTCTGAGAGCTTTTAATGATTCCTCGCCGAAGGTAATTTTAGTATATAAAGCTAAATGAAAAGCATAACGAACGGGATTGGATAAATTGATATAATAATAAAATTAATGGTAATTCACTAAATTATTCCAACCAAAATGGTTCTACATGTTTTTGGCTTTGTTCATTCTCTCGTTATGCTCTCTGTTAATTAGCTATTAACAAAAAGGTTGATCACTAAAACAATACCACTAAACAAATATCTCTATCTTCTATGTTACTAGTAGCTATATTTCGAAACATCAACATTTATGACTACAGAATTTGCTGAAAATTATAATTTTTTCTCAAAGTTATAGACGCAAACTTCCTATCTGCGCCAGGTTTGTAGATTCGAAAAATTAATTTTTAGAACTACATGTACATGTACATGTATTACCGCCACAGTACTTCAAACATGTATGTAATTTATTCAAAGTATTACATGTACAAGATAGAAGTTTCGATATAAAATGGCATTTGAAATAACATGAACATGCAATTACAAAATCAACGCATTTCTTTCTTAACATTATCAAGGTGCAAGCTGCACCATATCTTTCTTTTTTTTTACTTTACATCATCATCTTCTCTTTATATCATTTTTTTACGTCATTTTACAAATGCTCTCCTTCACACTTGAAAAATGGCTTTCATCATCATCAGGAAGCAAGTATAAAATCAACAAATCGCACAAATCCATTTTCAATTTATTATTTTGCATATTACTTTTCGGATTAATAATTGAGCAAAAGTTCGTCAACGCTCAGTCAGTATCTGCGTCACCGGGACCGAGAGCAGAGCATTGCACGGCTGCTTATGGGAATCGTTTTTATGTATATAGTGGTAATGGGAATGATCAATTGTATAGTTGGTTTAGTTATATTGAAGCACCATTCAGTGTATCGAATCAAAAATGGGTTGCTATGCCAACTGACGGAGCTCATAATGTCAGTCGTCCTGCATGTGTTGTGACTGAGAATGGTCGTTTCTTTGTAATTGGTGGTGGGCAATATGATGATGTTAATTATTACGGTGTGTCCTCGTATGATCTGACAAAAGGAACTGCTGGCCAATGGTACGAATAATAACTGATTTTTTTGATGTCTATCTTTTTTACACATAATATTTCTAAACAACAATTTAAACAAAAAAAATATTAGGACTGATGTTAAAACAAATAATCTTGATTCACGCAGTCTGATAGCATATCGAGACAGTCATAGAGCAATATATGTGAAGACTACTTCTGGAAACGAATTAATATTTGTGTTTAGTGGCGCATTTGGTAGTGTAATGAGAAACGATTCTTATATTTTACATCTTGGAAATAGTTCATGGGAGAAAGTACCAGATGCATCGGTAAATTATTTAACATTTAATATTTTTTATTTTAAAACATTGTTTACCTTTATTTAAAGATTGAATTTGAATATTTATAGCAATCTAAATATGCACCTCCCGGGCTTGCATTCTCTTCTTTAGTCACTTTCAAAGATAATATCTTTGTTGTAAGTGGTTCCGGAAGTATGTCCGATTCTTGGGAATATTACGACCAAGTATGGGCTTTCAATATACCCACGCGCACATGGTTTGATCCAAGTGTCTCGGCAGGAATCTATTTTGTTGGCGCCTGGCCTGGAAAACTAAACGATACATTTTTCTTTGTTTCTGCTAGTTCAAGTTCCTTAAATTCGATTATGGGCGCCTGGGTAAGAGGATTTTCACATTCAAAACGAGAATTTCGTAATTCCGTCCTTTAAAAATCGTCTCACACTTTGTTTCTGCCGCAGAATCTTATGAATAATTCTTTTACGATATTTAAAACGGGTCCAATGGCACAAGGTATTAGTCATGATTATTATTCCGCTTCTCAATTTGCTGGAAGTGATGTGCTAATTGTAAGTATAGAGAAATATTATTGTTTTGCATACCGATATTTGATTTGTTAATTGAGCATTAATTTCATTAGACATATGGTGGAGAAAGTCAAAAAAGCTCTAATGCATCAAATTCAAAAGTTATAGCATCCGGATACACATCGGATTTGGCAATTTTTAACATGACACAGCGTGCTTGGGTAGATACTTGTAATGTCCCTACAACGTTGCCGGTGGATAAATTCGCTGGTGGTGTTTTGGCACCGAATCAAGATGATCCATATTATATCAAGTCGTCGAATTCAAATGGAAGTGATCATGGGGGAAGCTCATCTCCTAGTAACGCCACCGACTCAGCTAAAAATAGTTCAGGATTATATATTGCGGCAGGGGTTGCAGCTGTTGTAATCTTGGGTGTTGGGTGTTTTGGATTTTGGTATTATCGGAGAAGAAAAAACGGAGATCCAAATAAAAATCAAGGTCAAGAAGTTGAAAGTGGTAATCAATTAGATAAAACACAATACCCACCCGTCGTCCAAGTACCATCAACAACACCTTCAACACCAAAACCTGAAATCTATTCCCATTCAGTTAACAATTCAAGCTCAGATATCTCCCTTCTATCTTCTCAGGCGCATCCGATGCGTGTTCGTAATGACTCAAATGTTAGTTCAAGATACAAAAATGAAGTTTTTGGCCGTCATAAACTCACCGCCATGATTTATGATCAACAAGATGTAAATGAGACGGAACCATCAGCTCCAGCTAGTACTGTAATTTTACACCGCTATCGATTAGGAGGAAAATCTGCAAACGGAGGGAATAACACAATACGCCAGGCTGTTGATGAACAAACTGATGATCAAGTGGCGGTTAAATTCTTTCAAAATTTCGAATCTTTTGAGCGAGAAGTTGTTATGCTCAAATATCTTCGTTCTCGTTATGTCGGTGAACTTTTAGCATTGTACGAGCTTCCTTCGAAAATCGATTGGCCTTATATTGCTATATTGAATTATTATCCACAGAGTTTAGACAGTTTCATTTTGAGTAAATTGTCCACGATGGACACTCTATTTATAAAACTTATCATAAAGTCTATAACACAAGCAATTCATTATTTGCATAAACATAATGTTGCTCATTTGGATGTTAAACCTGGAAATTTTGTGCACGAAGCTGGCGATGTCACCTCATGGTAAAAGAATTTTTTGAAAAGAATGATAATATCAATGATGTTAAAAACTTAAATTTTTCTTTAATCATCCAAAGGAGATTAATTGACTTTGAGGCTGCTAGATTTATTGGGGAAGAAACAGTCGATGATTGTTCACCTTTATACAGTTCACGTGAGTTTAATTATATAAATTTTCAGTAATTCATGTAGTTATTCTTAATACTTAGAAATTCATATTTCGTTTCATCCTAAATAGCCGAGGTATTACATTCGGCACAAACACAGTCTTCGATAATAGCAACAACTTCAATGGACATGTGGTCTTTGGGATGTATAATCTATGAATTATACACAAACACACCGTTGTTCTATTCACAAGATGAAGCAATCGAGAAATTAACGACGAGCTATACAAATGGCGAGTCAACAGACTTATCTTTGAACAAAGTCGCTGATTTGCAAGCGAGAAACATGCTAGAGAAACTTCTCTCGATAAAACCATCCAATCGAATTTCATGTGAACAAGTCCTTCGTTCTGCATTCTTAAATTCTGGTCTAGATACTAAACAGGTAATAATTTATCATTTTATTCTTTAAGTAGAATTTTTTAACTTTTCGATACATAACAGTAAGTATTGCGTTAAATACATTTTAGTTGAATAATTTACATTCGGAATCAACTGAGAAAATAATCACGGCTGTAAATCAAAACACGAACCTTATATTATCTACAATGCAAGAAACCACAAATCTGATTTTGAGCCAAATAGACGCTGTCATTAATAGTATAACTGACACTATGGATGCCGCTATTCCGCGCTTATATATTTTATTACCTGGAAAAGAAACGAGCACGATTTTCAATCCTAAATCTTGGACAAGAAATACTTTTATTCTACATGTTTTATGTGAAGGACTTGATCCTGGAAATAGGGAAGCTCATTTTACCACACATAGTGGCTACACAATACATGATCCTAAACCTATGTTGGCAAAGGCTGGTCCTTACCTTTCGATTGTAGCAACTATAATTAGTGCAGGGGTAATTAGTTTTTAATATTTAACATTATTATTTTATTATTTCATTTTTAACTGATCTCGTATTTTATTCTAGGTTGAACGTTTCATTCATTTAAACATGCCAAAGAATATCTCCGGATTAATCAGTCAAATAACATCAAGACCCACCGAATATTTCCAGCAATTGACCAAATTGCTCGACCAAGCGGTGACAAGTCCCGAACAGGCACGCGAAATTGAAAATGCAAGGCAAGATCCTATAGCTCGAATGAAAGTTGTTCGTGGTCCCGCGCTTCGTGAATTTCAGGCTTTTCTCGAAAAAAATGATCCCGCGCGGCAGTGGGGTGGATTGCAACGTGTGGTTTTAAATGATGGAAGATGGCGTTGGGTGTGTCATGATTGTCATCAGCGAGCTTATGCTGGATATCAACATTCTGTCCATGAAAATAAGCACTATGAAGGTGGAATGGCAATGTAACAATTAATTTGTATCTTTAGATTTTAATAGACTGTATCTCAAAATGCAATACTGTAATAATATAATTATTATAATAACGTAGTACGTGTAATGGAAAAAGTTTGAACCATTTCTTTGGCTTTCTGATAATTTCATTTGGATTTATAGTTCCTTGAACTTATAACATAATACCTAGTTTTATAATGTTTTCAAGAAACTGTGTTCCCTAGGTTTTTTTCTTTCTCAAAAAGGTGATTAAAAATATCCCTCAATACTTTTGGACTACCCCAAATGAACAAATGCAGATTCTATTAATTGACTGCAATTATCACATTTTCCAATATATATTTACAACTCTACATATAAATACATGCAGTATAGCGATAGTGTTCGATTGTACGCGTATTTGTCCATCACTAATCATTAGTCAAATTTAAATTTTTTGCCCTAACTTGCTACAGTAACACCTCGATTCGCTGCTGCTGGATTGAATCCTCCACCTCTACCACCACTTCCTCCACCTCTACCACCACTTCCTCCACCTCCACGAAATCCCTACGATTACTACCACGACCTGAGGGGAAAGTAAAACAGTTTAAAAAATTGTGAATTATTAAAATTTCTAATGCTTAAGTACGTACTACCACTTTGGAGTCGCGCCCCAATAATCTTTATTATTCAACTCAAATGCTTGCTTTCGCGGCATTTGTATCTGTGAATTCAACATAGCCAAACCTAAAAGTACAATAAATAATTTAAAATTACGAAAGACTTAAGCTAATTAACCCTTTAGGACGTTGAGTATTCGGGAACTTTGGAAGTCTTATGGGCTTTATTTTATCACATTTCTCGAAAAACTCGGCAAGCTGACCTTCATTGACACTATAAGACGACCTACCAACATATACAGTGGAATTGCCTTGAATTGATATTGTCATTGAAGTTAGAACGGTTTTTTGAAGGAGATTTTAACTGAAAAAAGTCAATTTGATTTCTCTTCCGTCTACTTTTTTGCAAGATAATTCCATGGCAGTCGGAGCATCTTCGGAGTTTACAAATTTATGTATCCAAAGCTTAAGTTTGTAAAATATACATTACAATAATTAATGAGACAAACCAATAATATGGGATGCTATGATTTAATTACTCACCCGATCGGTTATTATACGTATATCTGCAACTTCGAATTGAGAAATACATTTGTAAATATTTCCTAGTTGTATTATATGATAAATTTCCCATGTATATAAAGTTTCCTTGATAAGAATTATTTGTTTGGAAAGAGTGGATTTTTGTTGCGGAGCTTTCCGTTTGTTATTGAATCTTGAAGTTTGTTGTGGTACGTTTACCGTACCATACCATTCTTGTTTGGTTGAGCTACTTTCAGATGACAACGACAACGATGAAGAAGAACTATTGGCATTAGATTTTTAAGTTGTGGTGCGTCAATGGCTTCGTTATTGGATTCATCAGAGTTTGCATCATTAGGGTTGCTATTTGAAGATTTCTTTTTTCTGTCTCTCTGATTCTTCATCTTCTGAACTGCTATCAGAAAAGTTCCTTATTCTTATCATTAGATTATCCAAGATGAAAAAACTATCATAACTATCCTTTAATCATAATAATTTACATTATGATATTAATTTCTTTTTCTGAGTGTGATCAATCATCATTATCATAATGTCATTCATCTGATCTGCTAATTTCTTGATTGTAACTCTTTCAAGTCAGTTTTTTTCTTTTGAGTTATTAGAATTATCTTCGGATTATTCCTCACTACTAACTTCCTCTGCCTCACTGCCTTCCTTGTCAGTAACGTTTTTATTATTTTTCATTTCTCCTCGCTTTCCTCCTCACTATCTTCTTCGGAATCTTCGTCACTAGCAGTTTCTTTTGTTTGATTCAAAAATCTTATTAACTGTAATCTTTATGACTAGTTTTTGCGTGTTCGTCAACCGACGAGGCATTAGAGGAAACCTCACTTGAGCTATCGTCACCTTCGGAAGAGTTTGATGTTGTTTCGTCCTCTGAATCGGTGCTTACTTCTTTTCCTCCTATTTAGGTAACATTTTATTCCTAAAATTATTTCCAGTATTCAAGTTCTGCGGAGTCGACAAATTTTTTTTCAAACTCATAGAAATACCCTCCTTTTGAGTTATTGATTTGGATTTTCCATTACTATTCGGTTGTTTATTGGCCATTTTGTCATTAGAGAATAAAGAATGAAAAATTTAGTAGCGGTAAAAATTTCGCATCTAAATTACAAAATACAAGATTTTTCATTATTTTTGCCCCAGTTGACAAAAAGACTTTTAAATGTATTGGATAGTAATAATAATAAATATTGACAAAGTTTAATAATAATATATAATTCTGTATAATAAATTGCAACCAGAAATAAAATAAAAGAACTTTAAAAGCATTTACGATGGACAATGGATGGTCCAGATTCGTCGTATTCTTGTTTGCTAATCCACATTTGTTGGAAAGTTGTGAGCTAAATAAGAGAATAAAAATATTAGTTTACTCTGATTATTAGAAATAAAGCAATGATTATAAAGAAATGATAAAAAACCGAGGCCAAGACGGAGCCACCAATCCAGACAGAGTATTTGCGTTCCGGTGGTGCAGCAATCTAAGAGAAAGACGGATAAATTTAAACAAATAATTTTAACCAATAATATATTATTAATGAACGTACCTTAATTTTCGTGTCTAATATATGAAGAGAAAAACAAAAGTATATTTAAATTGTTGTAACAAACAACGATTTGCTCTGTTAAATAACTTACTTGGTGCTGCTAAAGCTGTAATTTCTTTTTGCATTCTATCTGCAACTCCAGCATACATTGTAGAACCACTATTAAATAATACAATCAATCGATAACTGATAAACAATAAAATTATTAACGTAGGAGATATCTTACCCAGAGAGCACAATATTTTCATAAAGATTTTTATGGATATCAAAATCACACTTCATGATAGAATTATAGGTAGTTTCATGAATACCAGCATTTAAAAGATCCAATAATGAAGGTTGGAATAAAGCTTCTGGCGCACGAAACCTATTTTTTTTTACAGAAAGTTAACATCTCCTTACTATAAATTTATAGGATAAGTGTTTTGAATTACCGTTCATTTCCGATAGTAATCACTTGTCCATCGGGAAGTTCATAAGATTTTTCCAATGCCGAAGATTGAGCTGCAGTTTGCATTTCTTGTTCAAAGTCTAATGCGACATAACATAATTTTTCTTTAATGTCACGTACAATTCCAAGTTCAGCGTCAGCGATAGAGAATAAATATCCTCGTTCCATAAGAATTTTCATGAGATAACCGGTCAAATCACGTCCAGCCAAATTGAGACGTAGAATAGCGTTAGGCACGGCGTAACCATCATTAATTGGAACGGTGTTAGTAACACCGTCACCGGAATCAAGAATAATACCGGTGATACGACCGGAGGCATACAGTGACAATACAGCCTAAGTATATGCATATAAAAATTGTAAGAAAAGAGGATAAGATGCAAGGCAAAATAGAAAATTGAATATATAATATTTACTGGAATAGCAACATAGAAAGCAGGAGCATTGAAAGTCTCGAACATACTCTGAGCCATTTTTTCGCGATTTGACTTAGGGTTAAGTGGTGCTTCAGTTAAAAGCACAGGATGCTGCTCTTCAGGGGCAACACGAAGTTCATTGTAGAATGTGTGATGCCAAATTTTTTCCATATCGTCCCAATTTGTAACGATACCGCGTTCGATGGGATATTTCAAATTCAAGATATCACGCTTAAATTGAGCTTCGTCCCCTATGTACAAATCCTTTTGCCCCATACCAACCATTCCTTGATGACGTGGGCGCCCGACAATAGATGGTAAAACCTAAAAGATATAATAAATAACGTAGATGTATCAAAATCAAAAATTAAATTAGCAGCAATACAACAAGATTTTTACAAAAATTCAACATACCGCATGGGGTGTTTCATAACCGGCAAACCCAGCTTTGCACATATAAGAGCCGTTATCAATAACAAGCTAAAGAGTAAAAGATGTTTATTTAAGCGAAATTTTACTAAGATAACGTCTGTATAATTGGATTATTTTAAATAACTCAACCTTTTATTAAAGCAAAACTTACGGCGGCGACTTCTCTATCCATGTTTTAGAGGTTTATACTGATAGTTAGATGTATGAAAACTGCATAAAGTTATTAAACCTGATGCAAAGTTCTAAATGAAATTTATAAGGCAAAATCTATAGTGTGATTCAGGAAAATCAATCGTCGCACAAGAAAATTTACATGTACTGGTACATGGATTCCGTAACTGTATAACGACAACGATTATTATTATCATTTAACCAAATACATGTACTTATCGTTATCATTGTAGTAAATGTTTCTACTGTTAAAATAATATATACTGCGATGAGTGTTTAGTTCACAATATTCATGATTGTAGTAAATGTACTGGATGCCAAGGAAATCATTTCTGTGTTGACTGTTTCAAATATCACAAACGAATTTATAACGATGAATTGTCTAGCGGAGATAAAGATACCGACAATCCAATAAAAGAATGCAACAAAGTCAATTCTAAATATGAAAATATATTCGAATGGATTTCGAATGGATTCCTTTTGAAAGATTTGAATATCTTGCAAAAAGGAGGTTGGGACAATTAATAAAACAATCTGATTGGTTGGACCATTGGATTATCCCAAGAGGGAAATAAAAATAAACGAAAAGGAGAAACAAAAATTGTGTTGAAATTATTATTCAATTCAAAGCAAATTACTCCAGAGTTTATACACGAGGTAAATGAACGTTTTCTAAAGTGAAAATTACTTTTGGTTCTAATAAAATCAAATTTTCAAAATAGATTCAGACTTCTCTTAAATTCGCTGATTATGGATATATGGAATAACTAAAAACCCCAGCTACAAACAAATATTCAATAGTGATCGTGATGGATTATGCAGATGATGATCTCCGTAAATATATAAATTCCAACTACGAAAAATTAACTTGGAATCAAAAATTAGATTATTTACGTTGTACTGAAAAAAATTCACGAAGAAAAGTTTGTACATCGTGACTTTCATCCTGGAAATATATTAATACATAGAGATAGTTTGAATTTTATCCCTCAAATTGCTGACTTTGGACTTAGCATTCAAGCAGATTTACAAGAATCTACACAAAAAATTTTCGGAGTTCTTCATATATGAGTCCCGAGGTGCAGATATTTATAGCTTTGAAATGGTTATGTACCAGGTGAACGACCATTTGGTGAACGAAGTTATGATATACGTCTCGTATTAGACATCTATAAAGGAGCGCGACCTACGATACAAACAATATTCCCGAATGCTGCAAATTTATTATTGAAAATGTTGGGATCCTATTCCATAAAACAGACCAACTGCTGAGTATCTTGATGACTTTATTAAAGAAATCATTACATATAATATGGTATTGAAACTGAATGCGTTGCATTTTCAGTCCTACAGTTCTTTAGAATATGAAGAAATTAAAGAGTGTCTCAAACTAAAGAGACAAAAATTGAAAGAGATGAAGTCAAAAAAAAGCACTCTCACGAATATAAACAAATCCATTCAAATGCAATTTACATGAGTCGAATGTTTTCTTCGAAATTAATATCAATTCCAACTGTTACAGGTACGTACATTTGGTTTAGATTTAATCAAAATGACATTTCAGATTGATTTCAAATGTATCAAAAATTTGGGTTCTACAAGTGTTAGTTTGTGTGTTCCAAACTTTCATTTGATATTCTTTCTTTCATCAATTTCTTTAATTCTTTTTCTTTGGTGATAAAAAAAATCAGATTTCGATGTTTTAGTGTATCACACGAAATTAGTCTTACACGTGAAGATGATCAATCTGCTTTAGCGCCTCGGCACCAACAATGACAACCAAAGTGCAACGACTAGCAACAGCGTTTATAATGTTCAGCAAGCGGAATGAGGAAATAGAACAATTTCTCGAGTGTCTTAAAACTAGACCAATTTTGGAGCAAAAACAAAAATTGGGTGATAGATTACTCCCAAAAGTTAAAGCCGCAGTCAAGGTAATTTATTATTTATTTATGCCTTGCTTACAACTATCAAATTTCTGAATAATACAATTTAACAATTGAGACCTTTATATATTCTTTATTAGAGTCATGGAATGTGATTGACTTAAAAGAATTGAATTGATTGAATTGTTAATTTCTTGTAAACAAAATTCAATCACAATACCTTTATGACAATTATGGAAAGTTCAGGATAAAATGATTGAAATAACTTTCTCTGTGCCTGCAATAAAGTGATTTCATTAGCTTTAAAATAAAAGTAAATTTTATTTTCAAATCGATTTGTAACTCGATTGATGTATGTACAAAAGTCACCGACCACTTTTATTTTAATAAATTTTTAATACTTAGTGGATCCACCATTACTATCAATGCATGTCTGAATTTTTCTAGGCATGCTTTCAATTAAATTTAAATATTTATTTGATGGAATGCTATTTCACTCTTGTTGTAAGACAAAAAATAATTCTTGTTTATTTTTTAGCCTTGGTAAATACTTTCTTAATTGCCTTTCTAATTCATCCCATAGATACTCTATGAAATTTAGGTCTGGCAACTTAGATGGCCAATTATCGAGTTTTTTAACATTTTTTTCTTCAATCCAACATCTAACTTTATTGACAGTATGAATTGAAACATTGTCATCTTGAAATCAACAGCCTTTATCATTAAATTTTTCTTGAATTCATAATAAAAGATTATTTTTTAAGATATTAATATAATCTTTATAATTCATTTTTTTATCTATCAATACTAAAAAACCAAGACCTTTACTTGAAAAACATTATCATATCATTACTTCACCTTTTCATGTATTAGAATTAGAATTAAAGATGGCTCCTCAACTAGTTGTGACTTGCAGTAGCCAATCAGAGAATTATGACAGAGTTGCAACAGCTAATCAGAGAAATTACAACAAGTTGCAACTAGTTGCAGCTCTCATTACTAATTAGAATATTATTATTAATATTATATTATGTATCTGAAAATATCCAAATGCATTTAGAAACAAATAAAATCAGGATTTATTACTTTGAATTATATTTTTTCACTTTTTAATTAACTATTTTCATGTTTCAAATATTAATTATATCAATTTTATTACTGAATTTCTGTTAAAAAAGATTTATAAAGCAGTAATACAGAAATAAATATTAAGCTTATATAAATTTTTTTAATTATTTTTTTTAATATTATAATATTTATTTGTTTCTAAAATTTTTAGTTATTTATTCTAGAGAATTTTGAAATTATTTTTCTTTAATTTTTATTTGAACTTATTATTTAAAATTTAAGATCAATTAGAATATATTAAAAATTTTATAAATTCTGTTTCTTTGAATCTTTTAATAATATTAAAAATTATAAACTTAGAAATATTAAATATTTTCTTTATTTTTTTTATTAAAAAAATTTATTATTTATTTATATTTATTTTAATTAATTTATATTATTTTTTATTAATATTTTCTTAAATTTTATGAAAAAAAATTAAAAAAAAATTTTAATCATATAAATAAAGTTTAAATTAATTATAAAAATTAAATAATTTTTTATTTAATATTATTCTTTTATAATATATACAGTGGCAATCAAAAATAATGCAATGCTTAAATTTTTTATTAATTATAATTAGTAAAAAATTTAAGCATTGCATTATTTTTGATTATTACTATATATATAGTGATTTCAAAAAAATTAAACAGATTTAAAAAGTAATTATATAATAATAACTTACATAAAAATTAATATATATATACTTTAATATTTATAAAAAAAGTTTATTTAAAATTATTTATTAAAGAATATTAATATTATTTTTTTAAATTAATTTTTTAGATTAAAAAATTAATATAAAAATTTTTTAAAAAAATTATATATATTTTATATATAAAAAATTTTATAAAATACTAATTTTAACTATATTTTTTATTATATAATAAAAATTTTATTAATTTTTATTAAATTTTTTAAAAATTTTTTATAATTTAATAAATAAAAATAATATATAAATAGTATATTAAAATTATTTTTAAAAAATTTTTTGAACTTTAATTTAAGTTTATAAAAAATATTACTAGAATTTTTTATTAAATATAAATTGGTATAAAAAGATTTATATCTCAGATAAATATTAATAAATTATTTTTTTAAAATAAAATTTTAATTCTGTCTTATTTAATTAAGTTATTAGATATT